AGTTGTATATATTTTATAGAAAAAAAAAATGTATATAGCAGAAAAGCATCAAGTAATATATAGAAACATTATTATTACACTAAGGTACGTGAGGATAACATGGTCACCTTAAGCTTTGGCACCAAAACTATGAGAAAGGCAGAGACAAAAACACAAAGTCGTATAGCATAACTAACATATTAAGAAAAAAATATCAAACAAGCTTTGGCAATAATTAGGACACCTCGAAAAATCTACTTTAAAAAACTAACTACACACACTACACTACTATAATATCAACTGTCAAAATGGCGTCGATAAAGCAGCGCCCTTTTAACCCTTTATTGTTTGATTGACTGATGAAGAGCTATCGTATCACAAAGAGTCATCTATGCAAACAAGGCTGTACTTTTGAGTTATAAGAAAGTGACCATATTAACCGAATGACCATATTACCCTCTTGTATATAATATTAAAATATATTAGAATAATACATTACTAACGTATTTTTAGGGCTACGTAGTTAAACAACAAGAAACCCTTATAGTTTCGCCGTGTCCGTCCAGCCATCCATCCGTCAGGCCATCCGTCCGCGGTTTTACTCAGAGACCCTAGATGCTGCAAATTTGTAATTTGGCATTGTTATGGATATTGATCACGCCTACAAAACTATGTTATAATATTTTAAAAATATTTTTATATTGGGTGTCTCCCATACAGGTAAAGGGAGTATATTTTTACCCGTCTATTCCATCGTGTACCTCATACGATGCCACGAGTGCTGGGCGAAAATCGACAAACTTTCGATCAGGACGTCCCTTTCCGACTCTGCCGTTCACGTATGCAACATAAATTTGCTTTGTCACCCTTTCCTCATTCATTCTTTCCACATGACTGAATTACCGAAGCATTCCTTTCTTAATCCTGGTCACAATACCTTCTTGCATACCACGCTCTTCTCTTATCATACAATTTCTCACCCTGTTACTCAGATTCAGCCCTAACAAACTCCTTAACGGCCGCATTTTTACTGCGTTTATTCTACTCTCGTGCTTTTTCTGCCACACCCACCTTTCACTATCATACGTTAAAGTAGGGACTAACACAGTATTGTGAATTGTCATACGTGCCTTTTTTACATGCTGACTTACCACAATTCATCAAGGTCCACTGCTTTTCCATAGTGCCATGTGGTTGCCAAACTACTTGGCAGATAGTTTGGCAACCACAGTTTTTTCTAGTTGTTATTAGGAAAACGCTGCTCGCGTATATTTTAATCATTATTTCCCTCTGCCATCTCTTTCAACACCCAAGAGACGAATGTGTAGAATAACAGTGACAAAGCACAGTGACAGCGCAGAGTCCACCTGATAGCGAGTGGATGCTGTGGCCCAAACACATCTATATTTTTATCCTCTATTAAGAAATAAAATGCAGAGGTGCTGTCACTTCTGAGGATTAAGATGGAATGCCTCGTATCCAGTAAAAAGAGTCTCCAGTTCTCTACAATCACCATATGAAACAAAGCAGCATTAAGCTGCTAATTTACCTTGGCATTCTGTGTGTGGTCCTACCCCAGTCGTCTATGGCTGCAGCATGGCTCTACCACGTATAAAGGAGAAGATGTTCTTACACCGCCATACTTTTTAGTTTAAGTCTATAGTAATAAAGGATAATTTAATATCAGTGAACATCGTGCAAGCCCCGGAAAATGTCGTAACAGTACTTCAAATAAAAAATGAACAGGAAACTCAGCTCACCATATAATTATGCAACAAAAAAGGACTGTGTTATTGACCGATCTTTATGTGATAACGGCATAATTGTTACACGTTTCAACCGTAATTAAAAATGACTGATATCTTGTTTTTACAATGTCATACAATTGTAAACGGTGTACAAACATCTCACGTACATGACACATGTTGGCAGTTTTATGATAACAACTATCGGCCACACTTATAATCGTAGATTAACACTTAGTTTAGTATTAATTATCTCTATTCCTCTCCCTTTCTTTTTTTATAGGGTAAAAGTGACAAACGAGCACACAGTCCACCTGATGGTACCTAAGTCGTTGTTGTGGCTTATAGACATCTACATCTATCCTCGATTAAGAATTAAATTCAATAAGAGTTACATACATGTGATCTACATAGAATCAAAAAAAATCTATTCGGTTATTTGCAGACTGTATGTTACTGTACTGTGTACTGTGAGGACTAAGATAGAATGCCTCGTTTCCAGTAAATAAGGTCTCCGGTTTTCTACATTCATCATACGAAACACAGCAGCATTAAACTGATACTGTCATTTTGTGAAATGAAATGAATGATTTTTATTCAACATAGGTTATTATAAAATATTTATTGAAAGTCATTTTTTAATTTACAACTGGTTCGCAAAAAAACCTCTGTCCTGGGAAGAACCAGCAAGAAACCGAAACGGGATTTTTTTAAACATGTTTAAATTTACAATAAATCTATTTTCTTACAATTTTCGAATGATTTGTTATAGAACCAGCATGGTGGCGATCACCTCATTCCCAGGGGTTATTTTCATTTATGTATTAATTTATATTATAATAACCCTTTTTGTACAATTTTTTTTAATAAAACATTTAAACTTGTTTAATGACAAACTTTGTACATACTCTGGGATTTTGTTGTAAAAGCGTACACATTGCCCCGTAAATAAGTTACTAATTCTGTGGAGTCTTGTAACTGGTATTACAAGCTTATGTTTGTTCCTTGAACGAATTAATTCGTTCAAGGTTTGTTCCTAGTGTTTAAAGTATGAACATCTTTACTCTTATGAAATTTATTTATGTTTTTATGTACATACCTTACATTTTCGCAAGTATATTGTGATGCCAAAGTTAATATGCTTATTTCCTTAAAATTTTCTCTAAGCGACTCTTTACAATTTAAGTTGTAAATCGCCCGTACGGCTCTCTTTTGCAAAACAAATATGACTTCCATGTCAGTCGCATTACCCCAGAGTAAGATTACATAAGTCATAACGCTATGAAAGTAACTAAAATAAACTAATCTAGCTGTCTCAACATTGGTAAGACTTCTAAAGTGAAAAAAGGGGAAGAGTTTAAGCAATCCTTGACGTCGATTTTTATGAGTACTGTAATATTCAATTTGTCCTCGACTAAGAATCAAAACACTGAAATCAAACAACAGTTGTGTTGTCACCCCTTAGGTTTAGGATGGAATGTCTCGTATCCAGTAAAGAAGGTCTTCGGTTCTTTCCACTTTGAGCTTTAGAACAGAATTAAGCTGCTATTTTACGCTGGTATTCTTTGAGAGAGTGGTTCTTCCCCAGTCGAACCAACCCATTCGTTGCACAACCATAATACATTTGACGGTGGTATTATTCAGCAACTGTGTTATATTCTTTCATTACGATAATATTTTGTTACCTAAAAATAAGATGTTATAAAATTGTTTATTCGTGGTAGACTCACGCTGCAGCTACTAGCTATAGCTGTAGCACGAATGGGACGATTGAACCGGGATATTTTGTGAGGGCGTGATCCTACCACGCTCCCATGGCAGCGTAAACAGCAGAATATTACTGCAGTGTTTCGTATGGTAAGTAAATCTTTTTTACTGGTAACGAGGCATTTGATCTTAGTCCACAGGGGTGGCAACCCATTATTTTTTTATATAATTAGAGAGACAAACGAGCACACAGTCCACCTGATGGTAAGTGGATGCTGCGGCCCATAGACACCTAAATTTATACTCGATTAACAATGAAAACGCAGATGCCATATCACCCCTAAGAACTAAGATGGAAAGCCTCGTTTCCAGTATGATCTCTACACTCATCATACAAAACACAGCAGTATTAAGCTGCTATTTTACGTCGGTATTCTGTGAGAGTGTGGTCCTTCCCCGGTCGAGTCGACCCATTAGTGTTACAACCATAATCTGTATTTTGATTAATCATTGATAGAATAGATTTTTTTAATTTTATGTAGATCACATAATATATGTAACTCTTTATGACGCTCTGCAAATTCAGATAACCGTGAGTTCAAATCCGCTTTAACTACTGTCTTGAACAACTCCAAACACAAGCATTTTACATTACTTGATGTTAATAACGTAATTAATATTCTTTTTTTAAATATACAATGCGATGACTCCAAACATCAAAGCAAAGCCAACTGTGATTCCAAATAGACTCAAACGTCTTAGCACACGGTCAACCCTGCTATAAGTCCCGCTAAGGTCATGTACAATGCGATGCACGTTTGCTTCACTGCTATAAAAAAAACGATGAAAAACGACAATGAGTAAGCTTGACATACGTCAACTTAAGGCAATTAAGAATTATTATTAACGTACGTCAAGCTTAATCATTGTCTGTTTTCATCGTGCATTGTGCATGACCTTGGCGGGACGTACAGTGAGATGGGCCGTGTGTAAGGTGCTTTACACAATCACAATGATTACTAATGCAAACAGCTGTTTCAAGTTTACGTAGTCAATATATTTAATACATTGTAGAGCCATGCTGCAGCTATATTATGGAGTTTTTAAACGTTAGCTCCTCACTAGGATTTTCTCATGTACCTGGGTGGCAGTTTACATACATACATTTTACACGGACAACCATTCAGATCCCGAACAACTATTTGTAGGCTATACAAATACTTGTTCTGTGCGGGATTCGAACCCGCGACCCTTAGTGCTGCAACCTATTGCTAAGTCACGGAGTCGTCGCGGTTAAAAGTGGTAGAGCGAAACTACAGCTATAGTTGCATGAGTCTGGTAATCTCTCAATATTCTTTATACGGGATACCTTTAACCACAAAAAAATTTCCACGACAGTATAAACATGATGGCATTTTAGTTTACATGTGGTACCAGATTCGCAAGACCTATGTTCAGCAGTGGACTTGTGAAGGGCTGTAATGATGATGATGACCAGAGTCGCGGCTGGTAACATTCATTTTATAAATCCATTTATAAAAACTCTTAATTTATTTTATTTTGTTTTAGATAATCTCTCCTTTACTGATCTCCACAATCCAGCTTCCATCGACTGTAGCTGATGGAACCGTCTTATCGGCTATATTAACTCCAAAAAATGGTGAAACATTGCAACGCCAGGAGAGAAGTTATTACGAAAGATATGGAGCAAGAAGACCTTTATACGACAGACTAGAGTACGACAGATCATCGTCGTGCCGAAGATGCGATGATAGATATGATGACAGAGATGACGACAGCGACGATTACGACAGAGGTCGGGACAGTTACGATGACGACCGACGATCAAATCATCGACCAACATCCGGTAGCAAACACGACAAGAACGACTATGACGATGACGATAGAAGGTATAGCAACGATAGGAATAATGGACAGAAAAATTCAACAGAAGATGGAAATGACAACGATAAGAGGAGGCCTCACGATGACAAAGACAGACATAGCGGAGGGAGAAGGGGTAACAGGAATAGAAATAGACACGATGACAGAGATAGATACAGGCCTGACTATTACGATAGATTCCTACGGGACCCCTATAGAGATAGATATGACAGACCGTACTATGACGATCCTTATAGAGAAAGGAGGCCGTATTACGATAGATATTACCCAGAGCCAAATAGATACGATGACAGATACGGAAGTAGATACGACGGATATGAATATACAGGTTACAGGAGGCCTTATTATGACGATCGCTATGATAGAGGCGGCACGTATAATGACCCATATGGAGGCTACGGACCCGGCGTTGGAAGGGGACAGCATGACAGGTGAGGTTAAGTTTTATTTAAACATTTTATGATTGCCGTGTCACTTTGCCGGAGCCGTAGTAGTTCAAAGCACCAAAGCAATTGTTATTTGCAACTTTAGGTGCAGATTTAGCACATTCTCCGGGAAAAAATCGTACTGTCAATAAATTAAAAAATATGTTGAGGAAACTTAAATTCTACAAACAGGCATTGGGGTAACGTAGCGGAAATATTTCTGTCCCAAAGCTTACGCAAAATTGATGAAAGATGCTTCGCACCTTCGATGCTACTTCTCATCACCAGTTTGCGTATTTTGTTTGGTGTATTTAGTAGGTGTGGGTAATTAGATGGAATGTTACCATATATCGAAAACCATAAGATTGCTCTGACATTCCCCATAGTCGTCTCTTATGACAGCTACAGGGCGTAATATGAGATATTCATTTAAAAAAAAAACATGACAGAAAGCCATTACATCAGATTTGCTTAACCACAAATCCTTGCAAAAGAACACCGATTCATAATAAACATGATTTCACGAGAATACTGAAATTTAAAAACATCCAAATTTTTATTGAGATTTATAGACTTATAGAGATTGCTAAAATAAATATTAATTTAGATAAAATTAAATCCAAACCCACCATACTGTTGCAAGGCCTCAATACTGTAAGCTCGTTCTTCGTAGATTGGACCACCTGTAAGCTCTGACAGCGCGCGACATGTTATACTCCCGTTCGCTCGGGACCGTAATGGCGGCAAAATTTGAAAATTAGCAAATTTTTTGCTATATTGCAAATTTTGCTATATTTTCACTTTGAGACAATATTTATGGATAAAACTTACAGGAATTCTTGTTGAATGTATAAACTATCGAATAAAATTATTTTTGGTTGCTAGAAATTGTAATAAAATACGTAAATTACCCTGTATAGCACAGTAGTAGTATGTACTTCAATTTTAGTGACAAAATTACTACTAATTTGAATTCTACACTTTTGTTTTTGGAGAAATTTATATCAAATTGTTTGGAAATATGTATATTTTTATGTTTTATGTGTTTCCATTCGTTACTCATACCAAAATATAAAATATAAAGAAATTAAAAAAATTAAATATTAATATTTTATCTGTGTGACATTTAGAACAATATTTCTAAAATAGTTTTGTGTGAATTTGAAATAAATACAACGTCAAGTTATTTGAAATATGTAAGAAAACTATTTTTACTTACATTTTACACTAAAAATAAATGAGAATGTGAAAAATACCACATTTATGACCCAGCCGCCATAATTGGCCTTCCAGATTTTGAAGCACTTTTGGCAATTTACTTTTCACTTTTTATACCACAAATTATATATATATGTGTTCACTATATTACAAGGAATATAAAAAAGTATAATACTTTCGTTTTTAGTCCAGACACAAATATAAAATTCTATAAAAAAGACGGAGCACCTTTATCAAAACGGCACGTGGAACGCCGAAAGTTCAGAGTGATTTCTTTTTTTTTTTTTCTAAGAAACATTGCCAGGTTATGGTTTAAAATAAAAGAGCATATCTTTGTCTTTGATACTAATATCTATTGCATAGTGTCTTTGGTTTTGTTTAAAACGAAAAAATAGTTTTTTCATAGGTAGACATGTTTACATAATTCTGATCTAATTCGATCACTACTTGGCGGGCGTAAGGTTGGTATTGCGCGATCGAATGTGAGCTAGGCTTGGTTAACAGGTTAAAACGCTGAAGGTAGCCGGTGTTTATGGGCTGCAGCAGCCACTTACCATCAGGTGTAGGTGAAATCGATTGTCACTTGTTTTATTAATATATATATATATATATATATATATATATATATATATATATATATATATATATATATATATATATATATATATATATATAATAACCATATAATCCCGTGGGTGTAAGAGTCAACAGAGTGAAACAAACCAGAAGATAGGCAGCAGCTTCTTTTTTATAGAAGAGGGGGCAAACGCGCATGCGGCTCTCTTGATGGTAAGTGACTACCGCCGCCCATGAACAACCGCAACACCAGGGGAATTGCAGATGCGTTGCCGGCCTTTTAGAAAGGAGTAAGCTCTTTTCTTGAAGATCCCTAAGTCGTATCGGTCCGGAAAAGTCGCCGGTGGTAAACAATTCCAGGCAGAAGTTGTACGAGGAAGAAAACTTCTTGTAAAGCGCACAGTGGTGGACCGCCAAGCACCCAGATAGTGAGGATGGTATCGTGAATTTTTGACGCGATATGCGTCCGTGAAATTTGGCGGCTGGAAATCATCCGAACAACTCCTTAGAACACTCCACGTAGTAGATGCGATAGAAAGCGCAAAATGATGCAACATCCCTATGCAGCGTCAGTGAATCGAGCCGATCAGAAAGAACTCAGTCGTCGACGATGCGAACCGCTCTGAGCTAGATGCGGTAAGTGGAAGGAGCTGACAATGGAGTTCCCCGGCCCAGAGATGAGTCCACGAAATACTGTATATCTCACAGAAATCTTAATAATAAGGCAATAGAAGTCGTAAAAGTGTGTGACCTTGTCGCCGCACATGTGGCTCGTAGGACACAAGCGCGCGAAGAGCGTTTGTTTCACTCACAAGTTTTGTTTCATAAATAAGTACTTAATGTTTTAAATAATGTTGTTTTTAATGAAATATGCTTAAATAAAATTATTCAGCTCCAGTACTACGATTGTCTCTAAAAATGTAATTGTTTTCTCATTTCAAAATCCATTGATTCTTAAGCTAGTTCATATCTACGAGTAAAACAGCTAAAAGCAGCGGTGGCTTTATAGTATGGACAATAAACAAAATTGTTGCGTACGTAAATTTCCTAGAACACGGCCGCAGGAGTCGAACGCGAGTCAGTTACGTGACACTAGCATTTTATATCGACAACTTATTACGTTTTGCTTACCTAGTTTTACCGAAATGGGAATGAAATGTGAGTTTTCGTTAAATATTTATTTACATCTATTTTTTTTTTCTTTATAAATATTTTATACCGTTAGCCGTTTATCGGCGATTATCTGTTTGTTTGTACTTGTAAATTACTTGATAAATTTTTATGCAATTTTAATATCTTGCAAGGATAAGTAATTATATTGTAAGGATATTAGACTAAATTCGATCTGTAAGAAGCCGGATAACTGAAAAATAACAAACAACAGAAAGTCAGTTACAGATCTTTAAAACTAATAAAAATGATAAATATGTCACCCATACATTTATTATTTATTTATTTGCTGTTTGCATAATGTATTCATTTTAATTATACATCCGTTTTTTTTTAATAAAATGCTATTATTCCTGGTTTCCAAAAGATCCGGATATACATAAATGGATATTTTTATCCTTAACGTTTTATTATATCCCCTTTTCTCTAATTATAAAGCGTCTAAAAGCTAAAGCTAAGACTAAAAGCGTCTATTAGGTACTGAGACATTTTCAGTTAATTAGTTATATCTTGGTGTGAGACTCCTGGACGATCAACGGTGCTTAATAGAAAGTCTTCGAAACGTGCGTTGCGCTGCACTATGCCCAAGTAAGAGTGAGCGCGCAATGTCATTCTTTGTTTTTCGCATACGTTAATTATTGGACCGAGTGGCTACCCCTCTTGAGATTTTGCTTTTTTATAAAATATTACTTAACGAAATAGTTTATAGTTTAATCTTTCAGCTCTCACACGTAGACAAACAATAAATTGTGTATTTAGGGTGAGAGGAGTTTAAAGAAGTAGAAGGCTCTCTTATTATTTAGATCCTTCTCGCTCTACTGAGCACGCCAAGATTTTTAGAGACCAATTTGGCCTTCCCCTCCAAGTGTACCACGAAACTGCACACTATTCGATATGTCGACACCGAGGATTCCGATTTCAGCTGAGGCAGCAAGGGGAGTGCCTTAAAACTAAGGAGATACGACAGAGATGTTTTTTTATCGGTAAACTCGCAAACTTGTGTTTTTTTAGGATTGAACTGGACTAGATTTAGTCGCCCCCAACAAACTCGACTTCAGAAAATCTTCTTCAAAATAACGACTAAAACTAAAACTCTGGTTGCCAACGCGCTTACCAAGTCCGGCAACTGTGGCAAATATCCCCCCTATGAGGTAATCTATGGGGGAGGCCTGTGTCAGCAGTGGACTTTAACAGGATGTAACGGTTACGTAAACGGATAATTCCAAAGCTAATCCAGCCTTCACTTCAGTGACGTTCTATTTCGTTTTCAGTCACAAATTCAATGGCGATGTTGTTCATTTACCGCGAAAATAACAAATATACCGTTACCCATTAAATCATGTCAATGACCAGTGCTAATAATGGCACTAGTCAGGTGATTTAAAAATCAACGCTTTCGCCTATAATCTATTCACACGAGCTCAATGACCATATAATAATAGCGGAGTAAATCAGAGCAACAAATCTAATAGTTCTGGTGTTTTCATGCACACTTCCCGCCAATATCGTAGATGTTTTGTTATTGGTGGCTCATTTTTATGCTTCTTTTTTAAAGTTAGTTAAAGTTACGACTTAAATACCATTATCTAATGTCCCATTGCAGGGCACAAGCCTCATTTAATTTCTGACAGTTTTTACGGCAAGGAAGTGTCCGCAGTGCCGTCCCAATGCGTGTAGGCTAACTTCTCATGTCTTCGAAATAATTTTATTTTCCAGACATGGAGGTTTCCTCACGATGTTTTTCATCACCGCCGAGCACGTGGTAAATAAGCACCTAAAATTGCAATTAACAACTTAATTGGTGCCGGCACAGATCGAACCCGGCTTGTTTCCCTACTGTGAAATTTACAGCGAGCTCTTAGCACCTGAGCTACCACGGCTTTTTTAATAAAATTAATTTTTAAAAGGGCGCACTGTCCACCTGATGGTAAGTAAATAATGTGGCTCATAGTCCAATGGCCACCCCTGGGGCCCTTGCTCGCAAATAAATACAATAATTGTCTCCGGTTCTGACAGTACTATAATTATTTATACGTAAAAACCATACATAAAACGATCAAAATTAATTTTACGTATGTTATCACATAATGGTGTTTTTGTACATCCGTAAAATAAGTTTTATACAGAAACAGCACTTACTATAATGTCTGTAATACTATTTTACACCGGTAATCTTCGGAGTATGTTAGGGCTGAATCTGAATGACAAGGTGAGAAATTGTGTGATAAGAGAAGAGTGTGGTTTGCAAGATGATGTTGTGACCAGGATTAAGAAAGGAATGCTTCGGTGGTTTGGTCATGTGGAAAGAATGAATGAGGAAAGAGTGACAAAGAAAATTTATGTTGCAGAAGTGAATGGCAGAGTCGGAAAGGGACGACCTAGGCGAAAATTTATCGACTAATTTAGCGATTTACTAAAAACGGGCCAAATTAGGAGTACCTTTAATCGACGAGCATGTATGCGTAGGTATATGGACGTGAAGGAGGCGAGAGAGGTGTGTCAGGATCGTGCCAAATGGAAGTCTGTAGTCTCTGCCTACCCCTCTGGGTGACAGGCGTGAGTGTTTATGTAATCTTCGCGAGCATGGTCTTTGATCCCAGGTCGAGCCTGTTTGTGCTGAGGCAGTAACAGGCTGCTATATGTGCCAATTTTTATGTGGTTCATTTATTTTTACTATTAATTATATATAACATAAATGTGGATATGATTATGTCTTTTATATGTCTATAGGTGAGAGGAAAGAGGGAAGATATAAGGTATTTTACGAAATCTTATGAAGATCTGGGGGGGGGGCTATATTCAAAGTGACTTTTATAGGCTGCGATGGATAGATGGATATTTTAATTTCTCACTCCTCGTTTCATATAGCTATTGACTTTTATAATGTGTCGAGTAGAACTATATAATGTGTAACTGTTTATATTTATTTATTTTTTATAGTTATATGATGGTAAATGGTTATTGTGGCCTATAGACATCTAAATTTATCCTCGAATAAGAATCAAAACCCAGATACGTTGTCATCATTGAGAACTAAGATGGAATGCCTCGCTTCCAGTAAAAAGGGTCTCCGGTTCTCTACACTCACCATATGAAACACAGCAGCATTAAGCTACTATTTTACTCTGGTATTCTGTGAGATTGTAGTCCTTCCCCGATCAAGCCCACCCATTCGTGCTACAACTACCATACAACTGGTCATAGTACGGCTACTACCTTAATTAAAGTTACTGATGACGTACGGTGGGGTATGGATAATAAACAACTCACAGTCATGACCTTGCTAGATTTCAGTAATGCGTTCAATACTGTTGATTTCGATATACTGTTGAGTCAGTTGTATTCCCTTAACATATCTCCATCAGTAATTGACTGGTTTCAAAGTTATCTCTGTGGCCGTCGGCAGTGTATTCATGTTGATGAAACTCACTCATCTTGGTGTGATATTACTGCAGGCGTGCCGCAGGGTGGCGTGTTGTCACCTTTACTCTTTTCCATTTTCATTAATTCAATTACTCATAAAATTTCTTCTCTCTACCACATGTATGCGGATGATGTCCAGATTTACACCCAGTCAACTTTTGAGAATTTGACGAATGCAATCGCTACATTAAACAATGACTTAAATATGATTCATGAGTGGAGTCAATCATATGGCCTAAATGTCAATCCCAAAAAGTCATAGGCTATCATTTTTCGTAGTCAGAGCTTTATCTCAAGAATTGACTGGTTCTCCTTACCACCTGTTGTATTCGATGCGGTTGTGATCCCTTACTTAGACAATGTCAAAAATCTTGGTGTTTACCTTGATAGTTCCTTAAATTGGAAACGCCAACTGAATGAGGTAAGTAAGAAAACCTTTGTCGCTCTTAGTTCACTGCGTCGCCTTCGATCATTTCTTCCCATTCCTACAAAAATTATGCTCGCACAGTCTCTTCTCCTTCCGATTCTCGACTATGCTGACGCAAGCTATGTGACATAATAAGACCAGCTAACTAAGCTTGAGAGACTTCAAAATACTAGTATTCGGTTCATATTTGGATTGCGCAAATTTGACATTTCCCAATTTCGCTCACGTCTCAAGTGGTTACCTATCCAATTTCGCCGGAACATGCATATTCTTTCTATTCTGTACTGTGTCTTATTTCACCCTTCTACTCCTCCTTATCTTAAGGAGAAGTTTAGTTTTGTTGGGCTTCCAGGGGAACCTTTACGCTCTTAAAGAACTCATTTTAAGGGTACCAACTCACAATATATCTTTCTTTAATAAATCTGTTACTGTACAGTCTATTAAGCTCTGGAATGCCCTACCTTTGTATATACGCGAAGCTCAGACTATTGTAGTCTTTAAGCGACTTCTTAAGGAGCATTACTTGTCTCATTCGTTTGAAAATCATTAGGACAAATTATGTGATTATGTAGTTTTGTATTTATTTGTTTATGTTATTGTTAGTGGTATATATTTGAGGATATATGTATGTATATGTATATGTATATATATATGTTATATGTATATATATGTATATGTATATGTGTGTGTGTTTATGTATATACGTATGTATATGTGTATCATTTTTTTTAATGTATTAGTTATTTATATGTTATTTTATTGCATGTATTGATATTATATTAGGTATATTTATATTGCACCACCTACCTAGTATTCACTGTTTTATTCCTTTACACCTTTGGTTGCCTGGAAGAGATCGCTATGTAGCGATAAGGCCGCCAAATTGTACATGTAATCTGCTCTCTGTTATGTTCTTTGTAAATTTGTTTGTGGTGTACAATAAAGTATATTCATTCATTCATTCATTCAACTATACTACTAATATAACTGCAGCATGGCTCTACCACGTATAAATTATTGAAAATTTTAAATGTGTAAATTTGGATCTCAATTAATCTTTACTAGAATGTAACCCATATAGATACTATCACACACCATCTCGCTATAATTAAAATTAAGAAATGCTATATAATATAATTTCAAGCAAGAACTACGTAAAGGAGGAAATTAGACAGTGGACCGTAGACACTGGCACATGTTAATGAATGTTTGTCGCCTTTATACTTGTATATTATTTAAGAAAATAAACATTCTTTAATGTTCTATACATTCTGTAACAAAAAATTATGATTACCTAAGTAATTAAGTAATAATTACGAATAATTAACCTTGTTGATTATTATTGTGCGTTCTAATATTTATTTTAAACAACATTTATTCATAGCTGTACTCAGTTGATTTGAAAAACATTGCTTGTATAATTTCGTACTAAGATTTTTGTTTTGAAATATGCATATTTTGAACATCTCAAAATCGTAACAAAAGACGTTATATGATAATTTAATAACTAACCAAGCCATGTATGCATTATGTATTTATTCCGAGTCGATAGACTCTTTTGACTCTATATTTGAAGTCTTGGTGCACAATTTCAAATACATCTCGACTTACTAGTACTACTTAGTTACTTAGTTAAGCACTGGCTTATATTGGATAAATAGTAACGATAATAATGAACCAAGAAATATTTATTTATAAAGGAAGGGTGACAAGCGAGCACACAGTACCTACACCCGATGGTCAGTGTTGTCAACTTGACGGGTTTCCCGTTAGATTTGACGGGACAGCAAGGTTGACAGTGTGAAAAAAAATGTTGTTTAATAGCTAACGAATTTTTAACGGGACAACAAAACTTATGTTTTTTTAGATTTGTTTTCGAAATAAAAATAATTTGGAAATGGCGAAAATTTTATTATAATTTTATTCATTTTTTTAGTTTAAAAATTAAAAAAAATGTGCAATACAATGAATGATTGACACTTGTCTACCGTACTTGACGAGATTTGACGGGATTATAGTGTTCTCAACAACGGGAGCTAGATTTTAATGTTGGCAACACTGCCGATGGTAAGGGAATATTGCCGCCAATATTAACACAACGAACTCTAAAGGCTATAGGGAGTTCGTTGCATCTACATCTATACTTGATCAAGAATTAAAATGCAGATGGGTTGATACCCCTAAAGACTAAGATGGAATACTTCGTTACCAGAAAATGGGTTATCTCACTCACCATACGAAACAGCATCATTCAGCGGATTCATGCTGGTATTCTGTAAGAGTGTAAGAACTCGCCGTTCGAGCCGATCCATTCTTGCTGCAGCCATTGTATAAAGTTGTACTTGGTAGAGCCGTGATGCAGCAATTATTATACCTGTATCACGAACGGGTCGACTTGAACATGGAAGTACCACGCGCTCACAGAATACCAGCGTAAAATAGCAGCTCTTGTATCAGAGTGTGCAGAAGCAGAATCCCAGTTTACCGGTTAGGAGGCAATCCATCTTACCTTGAGGACTACCTCAGGGGTGACAACACATCTGCATCTTGACTCTTAATCGAGGTTCGATATAGATGTCTATGGGCTACAGCATCCGCTTACCACCAGGTGGGCTGTGTGCTCGCTTGTCAACTTTATTCTATAAAAAAACTGCTCCTTGACACGTGAAACGTGAATGAGTACTGAAAAGTGCCCAAAACGTCGGAAATAAAAAATATTAAATTACTAATATTAAAAAAGCTAAAATTAAACGCGATAAAATTCACAAAATTAGTTTTATTCCTGACAGAATATAAAAAGAAACTAAAACCTAAAAACTTTCTTGTATTCTTGTATTATGGTCAAGAAGCCGTTATGCGCAACACTCTGCTACAAATTCCTAAGCAAATCAACTTGCTGGCAGTTTCAGGCCCTGGGACGAGACGTACCGCGGTCAGGCGGGCTGGGACGCCGGAGGCCGCGGGTATTACTTCGCGTCCGGGAGACCTGAAACTGGGCCCAGTCAGTACTGGGGACGTCCTGAATATTCGAGGTGATTTGACATCGCTGCCATTTAGTTTTTAAATCACATTCATGTGCTCAGTGTAATTTTTACTTAAAGGCAAAATTATTAATAAATAGAAGCAAGTTAAGGGAGCAGTGGTAGCTCAGATGGTTAGTGCTCGCTGTAAATTTCGCAGAACGCAAGCAATTCGGATTCGATTCCCGCCGGCACCAATGAAATTTTTAATTGCAATGTTGAGTGCTGATTTACCACGTGCTCGATGGTGAAGGAATACATCGTGAGGAAACTACCGTGAGGAAACCTGCATGTCCGAAATATAAGAAAAAATATATTTCGAAGACATGTGAAGTTCACCATCACCCATTAGGGCAGCGCGGCGGACAATTCCTTGCCCTAATACCCTCTCAGATATGAGAGAAAGTCTGTGCCCAGCCGTTGGACGTATATAGGTAGAAACTTTAAACTTTAACATGTTCACAGGCCACAATCAAGCGGATGGCAGAGTGTTGGATACTCGAGCGGAAATAGAGATCCAGTAGATTACCGCAGCTCTTTCGGTTACGCTCAGACGGGTGGGTACCGTCAGGACTTAAGTTCGGGATACGGGCAAGCAAGTGGATGGCAGAGCGTTGGAGAGAGGAGACCGTACCGAGATCAAAGGTATAAATTTAATAATGCTATTGACAGTAGACTGAACTCGGACGTTTATTTATTTATTTATAAGATGCATCAGCAATCTGTGGAAGTATATAAGTAAATCTTATAAATTACTCGCTGGTACTCGACGCGTTGCAGTCCTAAAAGAAAGAATTGTAGAATTATTGTTTTATATTTGGAAGAGTTATATTGTTTAATTAGGAATGAAAATACTTTCATTGAAGTTGAATGATATATGGTACGTGAGGGTAATATGGCCATCCGGTTAATATGGTCACTTTCATGTAACTCAAAAACTACAACCTTGTTTGCATAGATGGCTTTGTGATACGCTAGCTATTCATCAGACAATCAAATAATAAAGAGTCAAAAGGACTATTTTCCATCATTATCGACACCATTTTGACAGTTGACATTATAGTAAATATTTTAGTCGATTTTAGTATGGTATAGTGTAGGGAGTTTCTTTTAAGTAGATTTTTGACAGTTGACATTATAGTAAATATTTTAGTCGATTTTAGTATGGTGTAGTATAGTGAGTTTCTTTTAAGTAGATTTTTCGAAGTGTTGGCTTAGTTAGCTTAGTTTAGCTAGCGAAGCTTTGCTAATAATTAGCAAAGCTTGTTTGCTATTTTTTAAGCTATGCATAGCTTCTATCGCGGGCCTTGAGCGCGGGGACCGAATCCAGAAATTCCGTAACGAAAAAAACCTCACGCTCCCCACTCCGACGGGCACGGAGGTGTGGCGTTGAAAGCCGTGCATCGTCTAACGTCGTTTTAGTTCGGCAGACTTCGGCACTCGGCAGACTTCGGCACGGTTTTTGTGTGCGTGTACACTAGCTGCTAACTCAATGATAAAAATTCCTGAATAACCTACATGTATTGTAAGATATTAAAAATATTTCAAACAATATTAACTTCTCATTTATTCAATAAGAGAAAAAAAAATTGTTTTCTTATCGGTCACCACGCTCAAAAAGTGTAACTTGATTTAATATCAAAGACTTAACTGCATAAATAAAATAAATAAATAATTATAATTGCATAAGTTGATAAAAAATGCTATGCAATAGCTTTACCGCGGCAGTCACCGAGTGCCACACGTATTTTTTTCTTAATATAATAGTTATACTCTACTTCGTGTTTTTTGTCTCTATACTTTTACTAGTGTAGGTTTTATAGGGCGGCAAAGCTTAAGGTGATATTACCCTCAAGTACCTTATAACTTTCAAATAAATTTTTCACGCGCTACCTACGTAAGTTTTTGTTGCTTCGCTTCGTGCAAGTGCAAACAAAAAGTTGACAAAGTTTTACTGCAATCGGATGAACGGTATGACATGGTATAAAGTACGAACAAATAAAAATTTATTTTTATATATGAGAATGTGATGTTCTAATATGCATGCCTGTTATAGTTGTACACAATATTGATAATATGGGATAAATTAAAAACACAAGGAACTAAATAAGGACTAATAAAAATGGGAAGAATGGAAATACTACTACTAAAAATGTAAGATACTTGAGTGTAAGATGGTCACTTTAAGCTTTGCCGCCTTATAAAATCAAAACTAGGAGGTGTACAGAGACAAAAACACAAAGTCGTATAGTTTATCTAATACTATATTGAGAAAAAAATTGTAAACAAAACTCTATCAATAATTAGAAATACTTCGAAAAATCAACTTAAGTAAAACTAACTAGTAACTACACTACACCATACTAAAATACTTACTATAATATCAATGGTCACAATGGCGTCGATAAATTAGAGCCCTTCTCACCTTTTATTATTTGATTGACTGATGAAGAGCTATTGTATCACAAAACCATCTATGCAAACAAGGCGTATTTTTTCAGTTATTAGAAAGTGATCATATTACCCTCACGTACTATAGTATAATAACGTTTACATACTGAATTTGTAAAAAATTTGTAGGGTTTTTTTTAAAATTAATCCACAAAAATGAGACTATATACTTACATGGAAGATAAAAAATACGGACGTAGTCCAAGTTGATTGTTGTATTAATATGTACGTGTGTTCATACGTTTTTAATTGTCATCTGGGCGAGCGGATGATGGCTGCGGAGAACCATATAAGGCTAAGAAGGGGTATCTTCCAGGGCGATTGTCTGAGTCCAATCTGGTTCTGCCTCTCTCTGAACCCTCTCAGTACCTTACTGGAGGGCTCTGGAAGGGGATTTCGGCTACGGAAAGGAGGGACAAAAGTGACCCACCTTTTCTAGCATGGTGGGCGTGGCTTCTTGAGCGCGCTCACCATGCATAATCGCGAAGTGTGCAGCCTCCGTAATTACTTCCTGGCGAGATCGGATGATCCATTCTATAAGGACGTTATTTCTTGTGATAAAGGACTTACCCCTCTATCCGTAGCCAACGAGCAATGGCAAGACCCGGCAGTGCAGAGTATTTCCGACCGGGAGACCGTATGGAAGGAGAAGGAGATCCACGAGAGGTTCTACAAGGCTCTACATGAGCCTTTCGTAGACACAGTAGCCTCCCTCCACTGGCTACGCTTTGGTGACCTCTTCGAGGATACCGAAGGTTTTGTCTATGCAATCAGGTTATTAAAACCAACAACTATCGGAGATACATCCTAAAGGATGGTACCGTCGACATTTGTCCAGCTTGTCGCCATCCCGGTGAGTCACTTAGGCATGTCATCTCCGGTTGTTCGGCGTTTTCCAACTCTGAGTACTTGCACAGGCACAAACCAGTGGCCAGAATTCTTCACCAGGAGCTCGCTCTGAAACACGGTCTCGTGGATCGGAAATTTTCGTATTACAAGTACTTGCCGGAAGCCGTGCTCTGTGCGCGGCTTGAACCGGGCCATCGTCACAGACAGGACTATTCTTGCGAATAAGCCTGATATTGTGCTGATGAACCGGGCATAGTCAAGGATATTTTTTTTTGGTCGACATTACCATTCCGTATGACGAGAATGCCGTGTAGTGGCGGTTAAGAATATCCACTACCCCATATCTTCCCGTGGGTGTCGTAAAAGGCGACAGAGGGAAACAGGCAGGAGATGGGCAGCAGCATCTTCATCAGCAGCGTGGCAACTAATGGCAATATACCCCCATGAACAATTATGTCGTTACGTCTATTTGTGTAATTGTTCATGGGGGGTATCCCCATGAACAATTACACAAATAGATGGCCCCCAGTCCCCGGTGGCCCCGCTATTCCTGGCTACGGTGGTGACTGTGGTAACGGCGGGGCAGGGGGTGCTAAGAATCTCCGGTGGAGGTTCGGTTGCCACCTGACTCGAACTGGCAACATTTAACGCACGCACTCTGAGGACTGACGAGAAGATCCTGGAGTTGGAAGAAGAGATAGACAAGTTGCTTTGGAATATTATAGGGTTATCCGAGGTCCGAAGAGAGGGGGAGGACACGGTGATTCTCGAACCCGGCAATTTATTCTATCACCGGGAGGGCGACCATCTGTCCCAAGGAGGTGTTGGATGTCCACAAGTCTCTCGTTAACAACGTCTTAAAGATTAGGGAGCGTATCGACGAGGGTTGCGTACCTTATACTCATAATCACCAAACGGTATTCGCTGAAGGTAGGGCGTCCAGCTCGCGTATTAACTTCCATCATACCCTCCGCTCGCTGCGCCAGGTTTACGCGCCCACGTCGGAACATCCCGATGAGGAGGTGGAGGAAATGTATGAGGACTTTTTTGAGCCATGTATTCCTCCAAAACTCAATATACGGTGTTAATGGGAGACTTCAACGCAAAACTTGGCACAAGAAAGAACGGTGAGCTGAAGGTAGGGAAATTTGGGATAGGGCAATGGAACCCAAGGGGCCAGCAGCTGGCCGACTTCATGAAGAAAGTGGGACTTTTTATGATGAACTCTTTCTTCCAGAAGCGGCCCCACAGAAAGTGGACCTGGTCGAGCCCCGACGGTTCGACAAAAAATGAGATTGACTTCATTGTGCTTTAGTAGCCCGCTCAAGTTGGAGAGGTCTCGTCTAATGAAGTCAATGCTACGTCCCCTTCGTGCTCTAGTCCAGAATCCCGAAACCTTTCAGCTCGAATTACAAAACCGCTTTCAATGCCTAGAGGATTGACAGTGGACGATATGAATGGCAAGCTCGTGGAAACTGTCCATGCGGTCTGAGCTAAGTTCTGCAAGACCCGCCGCAGAAGAACACAAAAACTCTCCGATCACACTCTTAATCTCATGGCTGTTAGAAGGGAGATGAGGCTGCAATCGTCAACAGATTTGACAGCATACGGGCAACTGAACAGACAGATCTCCAAATGCATGTGCCGAGACTTACGCAACTTTAATACTGCTCGTATTAAAGAAGCGATCGAGCGGAACCAGGGCTCCAAAGTCTCTGCCAGAGATCTGTCTGCCAGAAAGAGCCAACTGTCAAAGCTGAAGACTGAGTACGCCAGCATCGTTTCCAGGACACCTAAGATTTTGAGTGAGATTGAGAGGTTCTATGTGCAGCTGTACACATCATCGTTGGAGCCACACGCAAGTGTGAGTAACGATTCAAGAGCAAGTCTTATCCGACACTATTCCGATGATATCCCGGACGTTAGTTTGAGCGAGATTAGAATGGCTCTCCAGCACCTTAAAAACGACAGGGTCCCAGTAGAAGAATTACAGCGGAGCTTCTGAAAGCTGGTGAAACACCGGTACTTGAAGTCATTCAGAAGCTCTTCAATTCCGTCTTCCGTGGTGGCACTACTCCAGAGGCGTGGAGCAGAAGTGAGGTGGTCTTGTTCTTTAAGAAAGGCGACAACGCTCTCTTGAAGAACTACAGACCGATTTCCCTTCTGAGAGTGTTTTTCGAGAGTCATTACGAATCATCTCGCACGCAGACTCGACGACTTCAAGCCTCCCGAACAAGCCGGTTTCCGAAAAGGCTTCAATACCATAGACCACATACATACCCTGCGGCAGATTGTACAGAAGACCGAAGAGTACAATATTCCACTTTGCCTGGCATATGTGGACTACGAGAAAGTCTTTGATTCCGTCGAAATTTGGGCGTTGCTACAGTCCCTTCAGCGGTGCCAAGTAAGTGCCAGGTGTCGGTATATCGAAGTGCTGAAGTGTTTGTACAGTAGGGCTACGATGGCTATCCGAGTAGAGAACCAGAGCTCGAAACCTATCCAACTGCAGAGAGGTGTAAGACAGGGTGACGTTATATCCCCGAAACTCTTCACCGCTGCATTGGAAGACGTTTTCAAGCTACTGGACTGGAAAGGATACGGTATTAACATGGCGAGTACATCACTCACCTTCGATTTGCCGACGATATAGTCCTTATGACAGAATCGTTGGAGGACCTAAGCACAATGCTCAATGACCTCAATGGTGTCTACCAACGGATAGGTCTTAAGATGAACATGGACAAAACTAAGATCATTTTTGATATCCATGTAACACCTATGACGGATTTGTTGGGAGCACTAAGCTAAGTTACACCACTTACTTACACTAACTAAGTTGTTGACGAGTACGTACGTCCAACTTCGACCGAGAGGTCAATCGACGGATTCAACTCAGCTGGGCAGTGTTTGGGAAATTATGCCACATCTTCTCGTCAGGTATACCTCAATCTCTAAAAACTACCTAGGTGGATTGAAAAGTACTCGGCCTAACACAGATCCATTCAATTCTAAAAATCAAATCTACCCACATATTTAGTTCAGTTCAGACTAGTTCATTGTGTGAAGTTCGAAACGTGTGCGATAATTAGTTGTGATTTTATAAATTTATTAATAAAGTAATCGGACATAATTTCCGCGAATGGAGCAAATCGAGCAGCGTGCCGTCATTAAGTACCTCCATAAGAAGGGGCTATCATCAAAAGCCATCCATGATGACATGGTCAGTACATTAGGCGATTGTGCTCTGTCATATTCATCCGTCAAAAAATGGATAACAGAATTTAAGCGTGGTAGAGAGAGTGTGAAAGATGAACCCCGCTCTGGAAGGCCTTCGACGTCAACTACTGATGAAAAGATTAAAAAAGTACTTGATTTAATAATGGGAGACCGGAGATTAAAAATTAGAGAGATAGCCGAGATTATAGGCATCTCTTATGAACGAACTCAAAACATCATTGTCAACGAGTTGGGTTTCCACAAGGTGTCTGCGAGGTGGGTTCCGCGACTGCTTTCAGTTGAACAAAAAAGGACGCGATTGACTATTTCACGCGACTGTTTGGAGTTATTTGAAGCCGATGCAGATGATTTTTTGAATCGTTTTGTCTCGTAGATTGTGCAACCAGTGCGTGTTGCCAGTGATGACTTACGGATCTGAGACGTGTTCCTTCTCTGCTGGCCGTATGAGGACGCTCAAGGTCGCTCAGCGAGCTATGGAGAGGGCTATGCTCGGAGTTTCTCTGCGTGATAGACTCAGAAATGAGGTTATCCGCAGTAAAATCAGAGTGACCGACATAGCCCAGCGGATTAGTAAGCTGAAGTGGCAATGGACCGGCCATATAGCTCGAAGAACCGATAACCGATGGGGAAGAAAGGTTCTCGAGTGGCAGCCTCATACCGGTAGGCGTAGTGTAGGGCGACCCCCCATGGATGCAGGTGGCCCAGGACCGTGCTTTGTGGCATTGAGGGAGGCCGGTGGACTTGTGAAGGGTTGTAATGATGATGATGATGATGACGACGACGAGAACTTCGTGAAAGCCGAAACAGATAAGCAAACAAAATATCTGGACTTGGCTCACGAGGTGACGGACATGTGGGGTGGTCTGCCGACCGAAATTATTCCTGTAGTCGTCTCTACAAATGGGCTAATCCCAGTCAACCTCTCGGGTCATCTGAGGCGGCTGGGACTACGTGGCGGACCGCTCCAGGCTCAAATGCAGAAGGCGGTGCTCCTCGATACCACCCGCATCGTCCGCCGGTTTCTTTCCCTTTTCCTCTAACCCTCGGCCTTTTGGTCTCCCCTGCCGAAGGCCTCCATCTGGTTGGGCTTTTATTTATTTATGTATTTTTATATTTATTTTATTTTATTGATATTTATGTATATATTTATGTATCTTTTCATTTCCATTTATAATTATATATTTATAGAACCCAACCAGATGAGAAAATTATATGGATATAATAATAATAATGGTTCGTATTTATAACGTCCGCGACTATAATATATAGAATCGTCACTTCAAGTCGAGCTTCGAACTGCTCTTACAATAGCTTGTGCAAGCGCCTGTTCAGAGATGTTTTTTATTGTAAAATGATAACCACTGCCTCTTTAATGCCATTAGGCGCAATTATAACCTGTATTTAAAACGCGTTCAGCCCTTCCGTATGGCTCTCCGGGTACCGGGTTCGAATCAAACACACTAACAGACTAAACAGGAGTCAATAATCGCACTTTACACATGATTTTTTTTTTTACTATTAGCATCCTTAAAGTATTTAATCAGTCTATACGATTTATATAGCAAGAAAAAGGGCAGATGTGAATAATTGAATAGACACTAAAAAAGGAATTTCTCTTTGTTTTCAGTGGTGTGGCCCAGCTAGACAACAATGAGAGTGATGGAAATCGATATGGCCAAGGCATTGGTCGTCAACCAAGTTACAGTCAACACAGCAATTATCCAGCCAATTCAAATAATTACGGTTTGAGCAGCACCACCAGCTATTTGTACGAGCGCGAGGACAGCCAAGTGACAGTTACACCAGCTAATGATACAAATCAGGCGACATCTTAGATATAATTTAACTTGATTTTTATTTTGTGCTAAGGAAATGATTTGTTATGATATACTCATAATGCGGCGCATATTTTTTGTATATAATTTTAATTGCGAAGTATTTTTTACATAAATAATACATACATACATATCATTATATCGAAATTTTAAAAATTAAGCATCGTTCCCCACATTATCTTGTATGACTTACTATTGACCTGCTGACCATTCAAGAAAGACGGCATTTTAGAAATTATTTTAAATATATTATATTATTTATTATAATTATTATACACAATTATTTTAAATTTTGTACAAAAGAATTGTTTTTAATAAGTTTAACTTTTCCAAAATATTTCGTTTAATTTGAATTTTATCGCAAATATAATCAAATACCTTTCAACAAACTAATTTTGTTAACCAAATCCTGTCTCCAAATAAGTTTTTTGAACTTCATTGAATGTTTTATAGACGGAACATATCTACTGTTCTCTAGTAATAAGGTAACATAACCAAAAAACCAAAAACATAAACATGAAAAGGGGGCTTCCAGGCATTAAAGTATAACGTATTACTCCAACCGTACATTCTTTTAGCAGCGTAGCCGACAACGCTGAACGTCGTTTGTGTTGAACAGCTCCCTTTTATGCTGCGGCTACACTAACGAGCAACGTCAATGCCCATAAACGCAACAATTATTGCCTTAAATTTAACGCGATAAAATGAGTGGCTACACTTGAACGGTCAACGTCGTTTCCCGTTGAACGGCATTAAATTTGCCGTTGAACGGCGTTAAATTTGCCGTTGAACGGCGTAAAATATTTCGACCGGGGAAGGACCACGCTCTCACAGAATACCAGCGTAAAATAGTAGCTTAATGCTGCTGTGCTTCTATAATAAAAAATAAACAAATATAATATATAGTTAATAGTTTATAAAATAAAAAAATAAACAAAGAAAAAAGAATACAAAGAAAAAGAAGATGGTGGATGCTAAAAAATGCACAGGAAACGTACACTGTAAATCTATTTATGTTTTATTTTTTTTCCCGCACCCAAATTGCACTAGAAAGATGTCCAATAGTTTAAGCTAAATAATAAGTAATAATATATTTTAATGAAATAAAAACTAATAAGCCAATCATAAATAATGGTCAAGTGCGAATTAGATACACGTACCCAGGGTTTCGTATTATATCTATGGTTTCGTACCACTGTACACTATGAATTTTGACCTGCAAAAATTGTTTTTTTTTTCTCCTGCTTATTTTTCTTGGTTTCATACCGTAAATTAAAGTATACTTTTGAAGTAATTTTCTTTAATTCAATCTCGAAAAGCTTTTTCATTACTCCACTCCCTCGCAGTCATACGTGCAACCCCTTTTCACTCACCGTGCACAATGAGACAAACGTAGTGTGGCCGCTTCAACGCGATACTTCGCGCGTTAAGGCGGTACCCTGACCAAAACCTTGCAAAAGTGCGTTTTTCAGAGACTATTTCATAGTGAGAAATTGAGTATTAATGTTCGATATCTAATTGTCTTTTTCTTTATGTGTTATGAATACATTTTAATTACTTTTGATTATGTTAAGGAAGTTTTGAGGATCTTGGAAGATATTTTGTTTTATTTTTTTAGGTTCGTATTTTTTATTGCGGGTTCGTGGGGAGTTTTTATGTACCGCCACTCGAGTTATCGGCAAACGGGAAACGGCATTGTTAATGCCGTTGAAAATTATCGCGTTAATTCGTGGCCACACCTACATACAACGTCCATCAACGCGATAATAAACGGCATTTCTCCTTAGTGTGGCCGGGCCATTACATTTATGTTTTTGATGGGTTATCATAATTTAAAGGAAAATAAGTTTTATTCTTCAGTTAATCTAAATAAATATATAACCTTAAACGATTTTTCTTGCGTTTACGATTCACATTTTTTTAAATTTAAGCTATTAGAATTAAATGTCGACAACGTCATTAGTGTGGTTAGTAGGTATCAAGTACATTAGATACTTAGAGTTAACCGCAGATATAACTTTGTTGACACTTTTCGAAACCGATTATCGATAATTTCTATTTTCCAATTTTTTTCTTAAATTCAATTCAATTCAAATTATTTCAAGTTTGTAAGTAACCTACAAGACCTTCGTTTTTTACGTGCCAGTCAGTAAGTAATAAAATGGCACTTTGCAGACCTTAACACCCAAGAACTAGGAAGGTTTATTCATGAAGTTTGGAATTTTGTCTAAAAGTTTTTGAGGGACGAGGTGAGGGACAAAAGTATCACGAACCTATCGTGTAAATATCTATAGGTAGGTACCATAGTTCAAAGAGAGTACGTTTACACTGCCGGTGCGTCGCGTCGCTCTTTTCCTGTACTTTTCTTTTCGAACATGGTTGATATAATGCATACACGTATTAATTGTTCAAATCAGAAATCATCAATACTTGTAAATTCTCAATGGGGCATAACTTGCTCCATTCAGCATTTATAACTAAATTTACAGTTATATATCTACCTATTTAAGATATATTATATGATAATAATTAACCTAATAAATACTCTAATTTAGTTTTATTTTTACCTGACCGAGAAAATTTCGATTTACTGTTTTTCATAGGTTTCTCTTATGAGGCTAGATACGGAATTGCCTCCTGTCTTTATGCTAATCCGACCCTATTAACGCATGTTAGTAAGTATAATGCCTAATTACTATAATTAGATTTTAACGTTAATATTTAGTCCAAAATGCATTCTCATTATAAATTGTATCCTGCAACATTCTTCTATTTCCTGTTCTGAACCTAATTATGTCCACAACTAGATACGGTCTGCCGCAATATTCATTTCGAGTTGCCCAAATTCACCTATAGCTAAATATCACTACCGATCTCTGAGATTTGGGATCGGCATTTTAAATGGCTTTTTCGTCGTCGGCGTTGTCAATATGATTGATTTCTTATGTTTACGCGAACACATTTAAATAAAACTAGTTTTTTTTTCGCATGTTATCGCGTATAATAACTAAATGCATGCCTTATAACGCGAAGAGTTAGGTAGTGCTTTACTCTCAACACGTCAAGGTGAAGCAATTTTGTGTTCTCATGCCTCTATCATAACCATATTGCACGTATACGATAACATGAGTACTCATATATCAAGAAAACACTAATTAATCTATCTTATGTTCTCTAAAAAATAATTTTATATTGCTATTTTGAACAAGAAACGGTTTGAAAAAAAATTTTATGTGAACTTCCGGATGTTGATATTGCATGTGGTCACGATAATTCCATAAAAAAATGACGTATCGAGACCGGGTTTTTTTATTGGCTCCAGAATTACATCAACTGATTCCCTATTTCAAATCAATAGCCTAGCACGCGTAGTTTGTTAAGAAAATTATTTTTAACTTTTAAGTTTTATTATTTTATAATAAAAATTTAAAGGTGCTTTCATATTTTCTTAGCCCTTGATTAGACAAAAGACTTCATGTACCATACAGCCTATATCGATTTCATACTTTGTGTAATCGATTTATTTTGGTAAACACTAATTAATAATCTTATTTTTAAATTTAATTAAGTGAAAACGCTCATGAGGCGTGTACTTTTGCATGTTCCAAATATTTTTGACGACGATCACGATGTTTTGAGCACTTTACAGCACCCATGGTCACGGAGGGAAGGAGGGAACTGAGGTGTTCGACATCTCAATCTCATAGTTAATTAAGGCTATGTTTGGATATCTAAAGGTAACTGTGATTAAGCTGTATGTAAGTTTTCAAATATATAATAATTTATGATGTAATTTTAAAATTCGGCTCGATGTAAAGGTAATATCCTAATCTTAGTGCTATAATATTATAATATAATATTCTGTACAAATCCTGTGTGTATTCTAAGGTGAAAATTGAACTTCTCATCCTCTTCTAAAGGTTAAAATAATTTTTATTGGAAAAAAGTTTCTATACAGAGAATGATTTGTTATAGAGTTTGGTAAAGAGTATCTAATGTTACATGCATAATTTAATTATTAATTCATTTCTTTCTAATTAATGATAAAGTTATGAATAATATGCGTCATTTTGAAGTAAACACGTATAAAGTTAAGTTACAGCTTATATACGTCCCACAGCTGGGCACGGGCCTCCTCTCATTTCTAAGAGGATTTCAGAGCAAGGTAGTGTCCGCTGTGCTGCCCCAATGCGTGTTGACGAACTTCATATGTCTTCGAAATATTTTTTGTCTTATTTCTCAGATATGTAAACTGTAAATTTCACAGTACGCGAGCAACCCGGGTACGATAACCGCCGGCACCAATGAAATTGTTTTTTTTTATAGGAGAGGGGGCAAACGGCTCACCTGTTGTTAAGTACCGTCGCCCATGAACAACTGCAACACCAAGGGAATTGCAGGTGCGTTTAGAAAGGTCTCCCTCTTATGAGGTAGTGCTTTACTCTCGACACTTCAAGTTCTAGCAATTATGTGTTCTTAAAATGCCTCTATCATAACCATATTGTACTTATACGATAATATGAGTAGTAATGTATCAAGAAAACATTCTAATTAATCTATCTTATATTTTCTTTATATTGCTACTTTGAAAAAAAAAAAGTTTGAAATAAAATTTACGTGGACACCCAGATGTTGATAATGTAAGCGGTCACGCTAACTCCAGAAAAAATTGACGTACCGAGACCGGGTTTTTTTATTGCTTCAGAATTACATCAACTGGTTCCTTATTTCATGTCAATAGTCTAGTATTACTAGGCCAGTAAAAATAGACTTTTTTTTTGGTCAACTTTGCACTAAATTTCCGATCCAATTTTTATTTACGTTTAATGTTTTACTACCGGGCGTAAAGTTGAAAATTTCAACGGCCGAGCCATGAAGGTCAGAGAACAGGAGAACGATCGCCGTAGAAAATAATGTCCCAGAAATATGGACACCATAAGTGAGGCGCTGCGATCACTAAGTTTGGTCTATAAAAGTCATTTTCAGTCTATTTTTCCCAT